CATGGCTGGGAGTTGTCCTTGTTGAAAGCCAAATTCACGGCGGGTAAGATGACTGGAAGTCGTCTCTGTGGGTTCGCCGGCCTGCCCTCCCTGTGACTGTTGTAACGTGTCAGCTCATCACTTGATAGCTCAGCGATTCAGTCCGCTGATCAACTCACGGTATTCACATATACCGTGTTCCTAGAGAAGAGCTGTCTGACGCGTGTGTGTAGCACGGAGGCGGCGTCTTGCATCGGTCTTCTGAACCACTCCAAGATGCAAAGCCTTGCTGCTGGAGGCTGCATAGCTCGAGCATTCGGACATGACGCCCACTCGCTCCAAGAAGTCAAGTGTACCCACCCATTGATCTCTAGTCTGGCGTTTGGTCCATTAGCGCACAATATAACATTCGTGACTCAAAGTTCGCGAAGAAGTGGGTAGATGGTGAAGGCGCGATACATCGATAAGGCTCGGACACTGATTCCTTCATTGACGTGTGGCAGCAAAGGTGCAGTGTTGCAAGACCACCGCCATAAGCCCCATTTATGGGAAGTTGTCGCCTGAGTGTGATTAGTAAGTTGAACGAGCAGCCAGCCCTCAGGCAAGTGGTGCGGCGATGATGTCGAAGGCGTGAGCATCTGCTTCGCATTTCCCTTCCTCGCCGTCCACAGAAGCTTGATGGGCGCGTCCAATCTCATCTACACCACCAAGCCAGAGGAGCTGCGCGGTGGGCTGGGGAGATCGAGCCGCTTGAGTTGCAGTGGACGTTGTGTGCCTTTGCAGATGCCTCCATAATCCCATCAAAGATGAGCCTCAAATTGTCGATTTTGCCTGCCATTTGTATTGTCCACATCCCTCGGCACGCAAATCCGAGTCGATCAGACTTGAAAGTCGCGAGAATATCTTCATTCATCCCCAATACCGACGATCTCCATGCAGGTGGTAGACAAGATTCACGAGATTCACGTTGGGTCTGCGTGAGCGAGTAGAGAGGTGGCAACAAGCTCACAATTCGTGAGTCTGAGTCGTGATTCGTGCTTCAGACACTTTGACCAACGCGACGCCCCTTTACTGTTGCCTGCACGTGGTTGGCTGGCCACAGCTGCGCGGACGCAATCAGCAATGCGTCTCGCGATCGACCGTGCACACAGCCGGCGCCAGGCGTATCGCCGCCCGCACGCAAATTCCGCGCTGCGCGTTGTACATCGCGACTTCAGCGGACGGACCTGTCTGTGCCTTGACGGGTGGACTGGCACTCTTAGCCCTTCCCAACCATCATCCTCACCCCAAAGATTGGCTCACAATCCGTCATAAGTCACCGCCGCTGGTATCGTGTCGCGTACTGCTGCCCTGATTGCGCTTGCCGCACATTGCCAACCTTGACCGCCACTACGATGTCACGTCTTGCTTCCAGGCCGATGAATCCGCTCCTGAGCGTCGGCTGTTCCTGGTGGGTGGCCCCGACAACATCAGCGTGCTGTCAACATGCGGTGCGCCGTTCAACTCCCACACGACACATGCATTCTACGATTCGAAGGGGGACAGTACCGGAACACGCTGCATATCGCCACTCCGGGCGCGAGACCAGCCGATCCTCCTTGCCACCATCCTTTGCCCAATGCGGTCCATCTGATCAAGCTCATGTTCACGGAAGGGAAGCAGCACAGATGAACCGCACTGATGCAGAATCGACCGCTCATCGAGCGCGAATGGCCGTGCAACGCCAGAGTCGCCAAGCTGGAAGTGGAGACACGTCCACCGGCAGGGGTGCCACCGTCACAGCCCCAGCGCCGGAATCCGCAGGCGTCCCCCAATCTTCCGTCTCGGCTTTCGAGACCTCGCCAGGACCAACTCCCGAGCGCGACATCTCTCCCGAGTATGCTGCTTCGAAAGCGGGCACAATGGCGAGGCAAGCGGAAGGTACAGCTTGCTCGTCACTCAGCCCCAGCTCTCCTTCTGCGCCTAGATCACAACAAGCCTCCTCTTCATTTCAGCCGCAAACGGTGCAAGCGGAGGGACCTGCTGCATCGGTTCCGGTAGAGCCAGCATCTGGCGAGACGGCGACACCGTCGAAGATGAAGGCGGTACCTCGCAAAGGCACTCAGCTAAAAGCTCAGAAGGCAGCAATTTCTCTGGTGAGTTCCAAAGTTTCCTTTGATTCGAAAGCTTTGGTGAGCTGATTGCGCAATTTGCGGCGTAGACTCCAACCGCCGTTGAGCGACTGCAGTCGCTGCTTCACGGGTCTCAAGGGCCGCGCCTGATCAGAATCGGGGTCCGTAACAAGGGCTGCGCTGGCATGAGCTATCACCTGGAATACGTCAAGCCTGAAGAAGCAGGTAGGTTTGACGAGCGGGTGAAGCAAGACGGCGTTGAGGTCCTTGTCGATTCAAAAGCCTTGTTCAGGTGAGAATTGCGGGATAATGCTCTTCAAAAGGGCTGTCGCATCGCTGACACAGGTTGACTCATCGTCGTGCAGCATCATCGGTTCCGAGATGGATTGGCAAGAGGATAGACTATCCGCCAAATTTGTCTTCAATAATCCTAACGTAACGGACGCCTGTGGCTGCGGGGAAAGCTGGACCACTGTCTGACGCCCCATAGACTCGCTGCATTCACACTGGACACCTAGATCATTTGAATTTCAATTCATTGTAGTCCTCACGGCTTTTGTCATACCGCTGCTTCAGCGTGCACGCAAAGCACGTCTCTGACAAATCGGACATTTGAAAGTGCGCGGATTTGACAAGTTTTGCATTGAAAATTACTCATTGAGCAGATCCTGGATTCCTTGCCAATGTGACACATCATCTTTGTTTCCGCCCTGGCTTGGCGACAGGGCATTCTGGATCTCCTCGCGCGTCAGCCAGGCGTACCCTGAAGTATTCGTCTTTGGCGAGGCGGCACCCGCGATCAGCTGAGCTCGCAGAACGTACGTCTGGGTATGATTGCTCTGTGTCAACAAAAGGATTGGTCTGGCGCATTTGTAAATCATGGGCACTCACGGCATTGTCGTCGATGGTGGCGGGAGTGTCGCTGGGCAACACCGCGACGGGCAAGTGGGAAGCAAGCCAGATGTCCAGATTTTTGCCTAAAGCTGCGTGGACAGGCTTCGGAGCAGCCTGCACGGGCCGTCGGGGTGTAAGAGAATGCTGGATCACTATCTAGCCATCTGACACTCACCGCATGAAGACTCTCGCCATCATCCAGCAGTTTTGAGGGTAGCCTCCAGCTGGATCCCTCCTTGAGGACGAGATACAGCGTGCGCTCCAACCTTCTGTCCAGGGTAGCTCTTACACCCTCCACATCCGCTTTCGTCCGCCTGGGCTGGGTGGTGTATAGCTCCGCTTCGGCCTCTGTTCCACCAACCTGCACCGGTGCAGTATCGTTTTCCAAATCAGCGCGTGACGACGTTTTTTGGCCTGAGAGTATTTGTCTGCGTTCTGCTTGGTCAGCCTCGAACTTTTGTTCTGCAGCAGAGCCTTTTTTGAAGTAAAAGTCCTTTACAAAAGGTTGTTCGAGTGCTGCGGAGAGCTTTTGATTGTATTGAAAGTAGGCGGACTCGAGTGGCGATGGCTGGCGAAGGATCACTGGAGATCTTGCGAGAAGCAGGGCGGCAGAAATCTTTCCCTTGCCTTTCGGTAGGCTGGATTGCACCTTCGATTCATCGGGACCAGAAGCGGTGGTATTGACGCTTGACGTTCGAAGGGAGGCCTCTTCTGCAGCGCTGGTGGTGTTTTTTGGCGAGTTGGGAGACACATTGCTGGATTTTGATGACGTGCTGAAGGCGCAAAGACGATACGCAGAGGAAGGTCTGGCAGCAGAGGAGGAGCGGGCCGTTCGTACACCAGACATGCGCACCAGAGCTGCGGCTGACGTCCCCGCAGAAGCACTCATCTTGAGCCGGAGCTGCCAATCGGAGACAAGACGCTGAGAAAAGCAAGGCTATGATGGATCGCGGCAGTGGCAGCAGCAGTGGGGCTCGTGACAGGAAGAGCGTGAGTGAAGTTTGAGGCGGTTGATTCGTCTCACCTGCACACCGCGCTTTCGCAAGCTTCCAGGACAGTGGCTGTGCGTGGGAGAGTGGCGAGGTCGAGTCTTTGGTACAGCTGCTCCAGAGCTATGCTGCTATTCGTCGATATTCCTTTGTTTGTTGTTGATTGTGTCAAGTCTTAGCAAGCCTCATCGGCCAACTTCAACGTCACGAACTTTTATCCTTTTCGCAGGGATCTCTTTGCACGGCGCGCGACTGCAAGGCTCGACCAGTCAAAGTGAAAGCAGTCTGAGTCGCGAGTCCTTGCTCAGACATCACGTGATAGTTTCGCACACGAAGGCCGAAGAGATGCGATGCGGCCATCATCTCATCGCACGCACACCGCCGTAGGTGGCTCGCTGGACCCGCATCACCCTATGCATACATACGTGAGGGCTCGACTCTTTGACTTGCGCCACAATTTGAATGTGAATTCACCATTTCAAGCGGCTATGCATGCATGCAGATTGGTTGACCGTGGCTCAGCTTCGCTGGTACATGTGATGCATCAGAGCTGTGTCTTGACAGCCGTAGTGATGCTGGGTGCATGATGCGCCTGTTTGCTCAGCGCACGCAGTTCTTGCATTCAGATTAATTCGCTGGATCTACACGCAGCTGCTGCCGCTGCTGCTTGCTGTCGCTGCATGCACCGCGCACGCTGCAGCGACTCAGCACTTTGGTCGCTGGCCGTGAGTTGGCCACTTGACGAGTGTGAACCACGAAGCGCCCCTACCCGCACCTCTGCTGCATGTAGGCAAGAGGTTCAGGGTGCCGCGGCGCATCCAGAACCTAATCGATCGCTCGTCACGTCTCGCGGCGGTGCACGCCATCCAGACCACAGTTCGCGACTTGATATGTGTCGGTCGCTTCACCTTCTTTCATCTTCCTTCCCAACCACATCAACCCAGTTCGCGTCTTCGCTTGACACACATCATCGAGGCCCACGCCATATCTCTCACAAATCACAAATATTCAACCTTACACACCCCACAACAGTCGTCAAGGTACGTGACGGACCAGACAGGCACTCTAGGGTTCCAAGTTGCCACCGCACGCACTCGCTCACCGTCTTCTCCCTTCGCTGCATCGTCCACGCGAACACAGATGCAAATCTTCGTCAAGACACTGTGAGCAAGGCGTACATTGTATCATCTCATGCGTGCCGTGTTCTCATCCTCCTATCACCATCCACAGTACTGGCAAGACTATCACTCTTGAAGTCGAGTCCTCTGACACTATCGACAACGTCAAAGCCAAGATCCAAGACAAGGAGGGTATTCCCCCTGACCAACAACGTCTCATCTTCGCAGGCAAGCAGCTCGAAGACGGCCGCACCTTGAGCGACTACAACATCCAGGTCAGTGCTTGCAGTCGCCTTCGAGCGTCGGCGCTCAGGTCTGACATCGCGAATCATTGCTCCCATCGTTTGCAGAAAGAGTCTACGCTTCACCTTGTCCTTCGTCTGCGCGGTGGTATGCAGATTTTCGTCAAGACCTTGTGAGTTCTCATTGTCCAACGATCGCTTTGCGAGCACACGCTCATCTTCCAACTCGCGTCCTCGTCATTGCAACAGGACCGGCAAGACCATCACCCTCGAAGTCGAGTCTTCTGACACCATCGACAACGTCAAAGCCAAGATTCAAGACAAGGAGGGCATCCCACCTGACCAACAACGCCTCATCTTTGCCGGTAAACAGCTCGAGGACGGACGTACGCGTGAGTATTGTAGCAGAGCAACGTCCGCCATTGGTCCGCGCTAATTGTGACACGCGCACCATCACGTCAATCAGTCTCCGATTACAACATTCAAAAGGAGTCAACTCTGCATCTCGTGTTGAGACTTCGCGGCGGTATGCAGATCTTTGTCAAAACCCTCACCGGAAAGACGATCACTTTGGAGGTAGAGAGTAGCGATACCATTGACAACGTCAAGGCAAAGATCCAAGACAAAGAAGGCATTCCTCCTGATCAGCAACGCCTCATTTTTGCTGGCAAACAACTCGAAGACGGTCGCACCCTTTCCGACTACAACATTCAGAAGGAGAGCACGCTTCACTTGGTGCTTCGTCTCCGTGGTGGTATGCAAATTTTCGTGAAGACTCTCACTGGAAAGACGATTACTTTGGAGGTGGAGAGCAGCGATACCATTGACAATGTCAAGGCAAAGATTCAAGACAAAGAGGGCATCCCACCCGACCAGCAAAGGCTCATCTTTGCCGGCAAGCAACTCGAAGACGGTCGCACGCTTTCTGACTACAACATCCAGAAGGAAAGTACTCTTCATTTGGTGCTTCGTCTGCGCGGTGGTCAATAAGGCTATCATCCCACTCTTGCCACTTGAACAACCCCTTGTACCACATCTTCACGAAGTCGACGCCAATGCATGAGCATTGTGATTCGTGATCCTTTCCTCGGGCTCTGCGTGTAGCTCGGATGAGCATTGTGTGGAGCAGCGTTTGGCTAGATGCTTGGCTTAGGAAGAGGGATGCGACAGACACGGTCAAGCTCGCATCGAGACCTTCATTGCAACGCATGCCATTGACGATCTACGAGCGTGTTAAGCGCTCGCAAAAAGCTCGGCTAACAGAGGTTGGCAAAAGCAAGAGGAGCGAAGGTCACACAGAGATCCAAGCGTCAGCGTGGACTAAACAATAACGTGAACTTGTGCTGCATCATCTGGATACTCACGAGTCTCTGTCTTGACAAACTCGGCAGTCTGGGAGACTCGTTGACACCACGCGTCGAGTCTTTCTTGAAGAGCTTTGATTTGCGCCTTGTCCAAAACTCGCGGTTGAACCCAGGTAATGTGGGCTAGTTGTGCGTGCTGGTCAAGCGTGCCCTTGATCAATTTCAAACTTTTGAGAAAAGAAAGGGCTGGCTGTGAGTAGGGGATAATCTGAGGCGTCCTTTGCATCAGACATCTGCTCACCTGAGAGCTTTCATGACGAGGTGCTCGACCTCTGAGCTGGGAAGCCGGGTCTCCTGCGCAATGGTGTCGAATGGCAACGTCCTCTGATCATTGGCCCTCTTGAAGATGCTCTCTATGAGTGCCATCAGGCATATCTTTTGCCTGAGGAAAGGCTCATTCTGCTTCAGAATGGTCTCATTGTGCAGCTTGGGCAGCAGGCTCTCGAAATGACCGATCGATCCCGAGTTGAAAGCGTTCAAGAGAGATGCCAAATATGCGTGTGGTGTCGATTCCAAATCGCCGAGAATGGGATGCAGCAGTAATTCTCCGAAGTTGTAGATCGTGTCGCCAAGAAGAGCGCTGATGGAAAGATCGTGAGCCCTCTCTACCCTCTCCTCCAATGTCAAGTCCGTGTAGATGTCGACGCAGGCGAGATAGAGTAGGGAGGAGCGGTAATAAGGTGCGTAGTCTGCTTTTGCCTGCGAGTCAGAGGAAAAGAGGGTATCGTCAGCCTGGACCGGTGGCTTCAATCGAGACCAAGATTCGCTGCAAAGATCAACGCACCTTGTAGTAGTCGCCGGAAACGCGGTAGTATGCGGCGTGCGTTTCCGTGTCGACGGCATCCAGACTGTCTAGGATCTTGCTGCACTTGTCCATGCTATCCTTTGTAGCTTGCAGTTGGCCTTGCAGCAAGTGGAAGTGAGCGCACTCCATCACTGCCCTGACGTGAGCTTCTTGAGTGGAAGGAGTGTCCACGATGGCAACGAGAGGCGAGAGGAAAGCACTTGCGGCGGCAGGATCTGGCAGGAGGGGAGAGAGAGCAGGGTGTCAGCGTATAGGAGCCTGTGTGGAGATGACAAGGACGAGCAAGGAGGGGGCTACAAGACTCGCCTGATAGTTGCCTCGCAGCCTTGACGGCGATTCCGACCAGCCTGCCTTGATTGATCTTGTCCGAGAACCCCCTGACAAACTTGTCGTACAGATCGACGCGTAGCGTTCCAGCATCGCTATCCTTAGAATTCAGGAATTCTTCTACAGCCACAGTCAATTGGTACCACAACTTCTTTTCGTAGAGCTGAGGGAAGCGAGCGTACAGAGGTCGCAAAGAGGATGGTGCTGAAGAGGCCTGACTTTGAAGGTATTGGAGATCGGCAGTGGGGCGCACGGTAAGGGCAGCGCTAGCCGAGTTGGACGATGACATGGTGGCTGTTTCGTATCAGGTGGGTGCGCGCAGTGCAGGGTGATGTGAGGAGCGTTGGTGAGAGGCTGCGTTGCGTGAGTGCACAGTCGCAAGCACGATGACAAGAGGAATGGTGGGACGTAAGTGTAAGTGGATGTGGACAGAGGTGAATGGAGCTGTGGAAAGCGTAGTGCTGAGTGTCGAGCGCTGAGTGGTGAGTGTACAGTCAAGATGTGGTCGAGTGTTGAGTCGGGGATTGTGATTCAGTCGACAATCACAATTTTGAATGTTGAATGAGAGTGATGAGTCAAAAGCCAAGTCAAGAGTGTTGAGTCAATAATGACAATGAAGTGACGAGAAGTCGCGGTCGGGGTTGCAGCTGCTGCAACGCGCGTCGCCTGCCCTGTGCGTCGTACTGTACTCACACTCTTGACTCTGCATGCATGGCTCGCGTGTTTAGCTCCACTTTGACTTCTTGCCCGGCGTGAATTCAAGATTAACGCGGCTGCATTTCAACCGGTACTCGTGACTTGAATTGCACGCTTCCATCGACTTAGACTATGACTCTCGAGTCAAGTCAAAAGAAAAGCGTCTTGAGTCCGGAGTCTGAGATACTCAATCACGTGGATCGTGAATGACTCAAGACTCTGACTGAACGATGCTTGCATGTGTGTGATTCCCACCTCTTGCCTCCAACCTCCAACCTCCAACCTTGCGCTATCCCTCTCTCTCTCACTCTGACTCTGACTCGATCATCAAAGCATCACGCCAAACGTCATCCTCACCAGACGCGACACATCCTTGGTCGCCATGTCCGCGCCAACGTCTGGCTTTGCGCTGCCCAATCACGACTTGTCCAGCCTCTCGCTGACTGGTCGACTGCAGCGCATCTTTCATCAAGCCGCACATCCATCTCCCTCTCTGCCTCTTGTCTCTGACGACCCATCTACCTCATCCGCCACCCCAACCGATCCAGCCTTGGCCTTGCTGCAAGAGATCAGATCCGCTGAAGAACTGTCTGTCTCGTTGGATCTCCTATCTGACAATGACCATCTGGAAGATCTGTCTACAGCCACCCTCAGAGCCTTGCTCTTGCCCGCCGTACTTGCAGAGGTATTGACTCGGGTAAAGACGCCCATCGGACCACCAGGCATTTCACATAGGCTCGAGGTGCTCAAAGGCAGCGCAGTGAGTCGCCTTCAGTTCTGCCAATCAACTGACCAGTGACGCTTCAAGGCGTTTACACACGCTGCTGCTACTTTGCACAGGGCGCGCACAAACGCTTCCTCCAATCGCTGCTTCGCACCGGTGCCTTGCCGTCCGCGCCTAGCTCTGAGCGCTCAGCAGCCATTTCGTCAGACTTGCTCCTCCTCTCGCGGCAAGCTCAGCTGCACACCTCCAGCTCCCCCTCCACCTCGCTCGTCAGCCAGCCCGCTTTCCCCAATCCTGGCTCTAAAAGGGACCTCAAAATTGCTCTGTTCAAGCTAGAACGAGCCATTGTCAACGCTCTAGACCAATTCAGAGTTGCAGCGAGGCAAAGGGCTCAGAGCCAAGCGTCCGGCATCAAGGTGCCTCATATCGGTTTCGACTCCGCTACAGCCTCACATGAAGCTCCTGCGGAAGCTCTCTGGGACTTGCTGCTCTTGTCAAAACGGAACGTGTCAGGGCAAGAAGGCGAGGAGAAGGATGGACAAGGACAGGACGATGACGGAGCAGAGGATGACGCCTTGGTGCAGTACCTGCACAGACGCAGAGGCGCCACTTCTTCAACCTCCTCTCCGCCCCCACCTCCCATCACTCCTCCCTCCTCCCTGAGGGGCTACACGCTTCTACTGCTCTTGCTACATGCATGCAAGACCATCTCAGCTCTTGACAGCGTTTCCCAAGAAGTTTCGTTGCTCTCCAACATGGCCAGTGACCCCTCGCTCGGTCAATCGGCGTATGCCATGGAAAGGCGAGAGCGTGAGCGAGCAAGAGAAGGTACGGGCAGCGATACGAGCTGGAGATTGGATCCGAGAAGGCTGGACGCCAATGCGCCTGGACCATTGTTGGATAAACAAGGCAAGATCCTTAGGCCTTTTCAGATTTTGCCAGGAGGCTCTACATCTGCCAACGCGCTGCCTACCGATGATATGAATGCGAGACAGAGACTACGTGAGGAAGTATTCAGACCTAGTCATAGGCTTCCCACCATGTCCATCGATGATTTCTTGGCAGAAGAAGAGAGGCGCGGTAATGTCATCCGTGGCGGAGGGTGAGTGTTGTGACTTTGGCGCGGGTCGAGTGCATAAGCTGCACTCCGCTCCTCACACGTCTCTGATTGATCCACTTGACAACAGACACGAAGGAGCGGCAAAAGCTACACCGAGGGAATCACGCGCTCTCAGAGCAGAGCAAGATGGAACGCTGGAGGCTGAAGAAGCAGAAGAAGATGCAAGAAAGGAAGCTATTGAATGGGACGCGTTCAAGGAAGCCAATCCAAAGGGAATTGGGAACACGATGAATAGGGGCTGAGATGCTCAGAAAATGCATAAATCCAATCGTTTTTCAGGGCCAACCGAGGCCGGCATTTTGTGATTTGTTGTGACGTGCGTTCGAAATTGAGAGTTTATAGTGTGTATCAGGGGGTTGGAGGGGGCGCGGAAGGCGAGTGTCGAGAGTCGGTCATGACTTTTTGGATCATGAATGCACTGCACTCCGCGAAAAGGCGGAGCGGAGCGTCAACCTACGCACGCGTTCGTGTGCGTCCCACTCGCACTGCGTCCATCATATAACCTCGGCCATGCGCGGTCTGTGTGTCCCTTGCACTCCACAAGACGCGTGCCACCCAAACCAACCACCAACACCCTGCACTCACCCCTTCATCTTTTGCGTTTCCTCGCGCTGCACTCGTGACTTCAAATATCAACGCCACTGCGCAAGGATGAGTGGTCCAAGTGGCTCGTCAGCCAATGCGCTCGCCGGTGCTGCGAGTCGACCCCTTGCTTCCGCAGCAGGTCCTTCCAACGGCCCTTCCCTCGAGACCGGCAACGCAAATGGGTCCACCTCGACTATCAATCCTATGTCCAACGTACCCTCTAGTGAAGGACCTTCTGTGACGGCGAATGGAGCTCCGCCTCCGACCGAGCTCGAAATTGATAGGATGACGGCTGGCTCTGTGCACAACTTCCTGGCCGCGAGGGGATACAACAAGGCGTTGGCGGCCTTGCAGAGCGAGCTGAGCAGTGCAGATGCTGCGACGACAGTAGGAGTCGCCGGCGGTGCAATCTCAATCGGCGAGCTGGCAGCCAAGAATGCGCCAAGAGATGTTACTCGAGGTGCTTCGGGTCCAGGTGCAGAGGAAAAGCACGCAACAGAGATGCTCAAGCAGGATTTCAGCGACAAGGAGAGAGGATTTCAAAACTTGAGGTGGTGGTGCGAGGGAAGCTTAGACGTATACCGCGTGCGTAGTGAGATTGCGCTCTCGAGACCCTTTTGGGCATGGCTGCACTCTTCCTAGCAGCTGGCTGACCTCGCATAGAGCATGGCAGCCTGAGCTGTTACCGCTACTCTTACCCATCTTTGTCCATTCCTACCTCGACCTCGTGCATTCTGGCAATGGCAACGCAGGTGAGCGCAGCAACTCGCAAGGCAGCATGAGACCTTCGCTCACGTGTGCTCTGCTCTACAGCTGCTTCGCTGTACAAACACAGCAGCGACCTCTTCCAACCTTCGCAAGCCTCATTGTTGTCCAGGCTGCGTGCCATCTCGCTTCCTTCGCACGTCCTTTCAGATGGACTGGCGCAGAGGTTCAGGTCGGAAAGATATGTTCTCAAAATGTCTTCCACGGTCTTCGCCTTGCTGCTTGGCTGGCTTACGGACGGTTCTGGGCCTGTTCAGCCTTCCAATCAGCTGGACGAGGGCGATCCTGATGAGAGAGGCAGAAAGTCGGTGCTTCGAATCCTGAATGAGAGATGTCGGATACAAGGTAGGCGGCAGAAGTTTGCGCTTCAGTGGGCCATCATCTATGTGTCTCACACGTATGCACTCCCCTCTGCGCTGCAGTTCTGAACGTTGCCGCTCAGGAGTTGGCTCGACTAAGACTGGAAGAAGGAACTGGGCTCACTGGGGCGGGGCCTAGCTATTCGATCGACGACAACCAGCCTACTCAGAAGTCTCTCTTATCGAACCATCTCAGCTCCGCAGCGGTAGGCAACTCAGATGTGGTCGCAGACTTTAACGCTGCAGCTGCTGGACCTCAACTCAAATTGGGCCCTGAAATACCTTTATCTGAAAGGCTCGCAGAGGAGGTACAAAGGCAGGACAAGGCCGAGCAGAAGAAAGAGCAAGAAGAAGCTGAGAAGAAGAGAAATGGCAGTCCTAAAAATGAGGCACAGTTGGGTGAGACGCCCATGGAGGGTGTCGAGGAGGGTCGTGGTGCTGCACATTCGCCTCGGCAGGCTGACGGAGAATCTCGGGACATATCATCGGCTGCACCGGCCTCTCGAGCCAGAAGTACAGCCACACCTGCTCGAGGTGGGACTGCTGCTGCTACAGTCCGAGCGGAAACTGTAGCTCCAAGCGGTCAAGTAGCGTCGACGGCACAAAAGTCAGACTTGATACAGCCTCAGTATGCAGACCTTCCACCACAAGCACCTCTCTTCAGATCGGTGGACGTGGAACGAGAAGTGGCGCGGATGCGAGACGCTCGCAAAGCTATTCGCTTCGGTCCTATTGCTGAGGCGCAGATCAAGGAAGAAAATCTGAATGCTGCTGAGGGCCCCGCTCCACGGATAGCTACTCTACCATCCATTTGCGCTTATACCTATCACGACGCCGAGGATGGGCTCGCGTGCTCGACCTTCTCCATAGATTCTAGCTTGATGGCTGCTGGCTTCGAAGACAGCTATGTGCAAGTATGGAGCCTCAAAGGCGAGCCCTTGCAGCCACTACAGGGCAACATTGACCTGACGAAGGTCTCTGACTGTGAGTCGCACCGTCCATCACCCCTGATCTGACTCGCGTGTCCTGATTGATTGATTCTTTTCAAATCGCTAGCCAAATCCTTGAGAAAGCAGAGGCAGCGCACGTCACTCACTACGCGGAGATTGGTGGGTCATAGCGGACCAGTATACGGCGTGTCGTTTGATCCTGTCAACGGTACGGCCGGCGCGCCCAAGCACCTTCTAAGCTGTTCAGCTGATGGCTCAGCGCGCCTGTGGTCTTTGGACACATATTCCGCGCTTGTTGCTTACCGTGGGCATCAATTGCCGGTCTGGGACATCGAATGGGGACCGATGGGTGTCTATTTTGCGACTTCAAGCGCCGACAGAACCGCGAGACTTTGGAACACCGAGCGGATACACCCGTTGCGCATGTATGCAGGGCATCTGAGCGACGTGGACGTGAGTTGCACGGAGTATTCCCCGTTTCCTGCGCGGAGGAATGCGACTGACAATGTAATTTCGCTCTTGAGCAGTGCTTGCGCTTCCATCCCAACTCTTTGTACCTCGCTACCGGTTCCTCAGATCGCACGTGCCGACTATGGGACGTTCAGCGCGGCGCCTGCGTGAGGTTGTTCGTCGGCCACTCGAGCCCCGTGTCAAGCGTTCGCATCAGCCCAGATGGTCGATACTTGGCATCGGCAGGGGCAGGCTCAGCTTTGGGACCATCTCGAGCACCCTCCAGCTTTGGATTCAATGCGCGAAACGGCGTTTCATCAGATGACGACGACTGCTCCATTAGTCTTTGGGACTTGGGTTCTGGAAAGAGGATCAAGAAGATGTGGGGACACTCGGCTTGCATCAACGATATCGACTTCACAAAGGACTCGAGGCTGCTCATTAGTGCGGCCGCTGATTGCACCGTCAAGGTATGGGACGTGACAGCTGCCGGTGGTGCGGGGATCGGCGCTTCTGGGCACGGCGCATCAGCCGCAGTGGTTGCTGACGGCACTGGAGGCTCTTTGCCTTCCGGAGCAGCTGCAGCCGTGAGCGCAGTGGTTAACAGCAACGGCCTAGAAACAGCGCGTCCAAACGCGGCTGACCATCCATTTGGCAGTGCAACGTGCTCTTCCGATCTCTTGAGCACCTTTTACACCAAGAAGACGCCCATTATCGATGTTCAGGTCACCCCACGTAACCTTGTCCTTTGCTCGGGACCCTATGATGCATCAATCTGATGTTGTTGACATCGTGATTGCACCCCACGTCACTGCTGATACTTCGCGTGGTCGCAGAGACAAAGAGTTCAAGTCACAAGTGAGGCGACATGTCGCGACGATGGATGGTGGATGAATGCCATGACTCTGCTTTGCAACTCTTGACCCAACACTCGTGACTCGGTATCACGCGTCTCATCAACAGGCGGGTTGAGACAAGTCACGTGTTTCGATGTGCAAAAAAAATGGTTAGGTCGTGCGCCTGCTTCTTGTTCGCAGAAGGGCAATCTTGAATTTGAACATGCCTCATTCCCGTCAAGAGTCTAAGTGTACTTTTGCGATTTGCTCCAGATCGTCCTCATTCGCCGTGCAGTCTACGGGTGAAGGCGAATGTATGCAACACGGGTCCAGAAGCTCATACAGGGCGTACACAAGCACCTCGAAGTGCGCTAGCCACGATGTCATCCTTCAACAGTGGCAACGGGATCGACACGTCTGCGATGGATCTCGCTGCTCTCTCTTCGCAGCTGTCAGCATCGCGCGCAGCAGTGGCTGACAGGATCATGGCCCAAATGCAAGCAGCAAGCTTGGCCAGTTCGGCCCTTGAGCAGCCCAGCAAAAAGCGCAAGAAGGACTCCGAAACTTCCAGCAGCGGACCACGCCCTCCCACTTTGGGACTTGGAGCCGCGCTGCCTCCAGCTGGCACTTCAGCGTTGGGGGCAGGCCCCAATCGATCGGACAACAGGCTCAAAGGTGCTTTGACTGGTGGTGCTCGAGCTAGAGGGGCAAAAAGAGATCGAGAGGCACAATTGGCGGAAGACCGCAGGGCTGCTGATGAAGCACGAAAAGCACAAGAGAAGCAGGAGGAAGAGGAGCGCACAGATGGAAGGAGCGCCAATGTCAAGAAGCGCAAAGATCGTCAAGATCCGTTTGCACAAATCACTGCTGCGTCCAGTGTCAAAGGCGCGAAGGCGGAGCGAGCTCAAGCAACAGTGAAGGAGGATCATAGCGGAAAGTCTGTTGGCAGCCAAGATGGAGCTGCAACAAGAGCTTCGAGTGCGACACAAAACACACGAGATATCGGATTGAACAAAGCCGCGGACCTTGCTGGCGCGCAAGCAGCGGAGAGGGCGGCGTCTGCTGGAATGGGCAGAAAAGCCCAGAAAAAAGCTAGAATCGAAGCGAGGAAACGAGTGCTTCAGGAGGCTGGCGTCGAGAGCGGAGAGACGAGTGGGAGCAAAGGCACCGGAATCAGCGGGCCCCACGCAGCAGATGAGGGAAGTGGAAAGCTCGAGACAATGTTTGGAACTGCTGATGCTGCTTCCGGATCGCTAAACGAGTCGACAAAGGTGGACCGCCGAGATAAGGAGACCAATGGAGCTCTGAGTGATGGCGCCCCAACGTCGTATTTGACGCCTCTCCAAAGCTCCGCGGCAGCACAGCTGGCGGGAGCCCGATTTCGATCCATCAACGAAGCGCTGTACACTTCGTCTGGAGCTGAGGCAGTGTCACTGGCCAAGGAGGATTCAACACGCATGCAAGAGTATCACCGGGGCTTCAGATCGCAAACTCAGAGCTGGCCTTTGATACCGGTAGACGCCGTGGTGAAGATATTGTGCACCGCAAAGATTGCCACCAGCTCTTGTGCTGGCAAGCACGTGCGGAATCCTGTGGTAGTGGATCTCGGCGCAGGTGAGGCTCCTCTAGCGAAAGCGCTAGCTAAGTTGTCCAACGAAGCCCACCAGACCTCCGGACCAGCACCTGTCGCAGCTTCGAAGAAGAAGCTGACGAACTTCTATGGTCATACTTGGAGCGTTCTAAGCTTTGACCTAGACACGTCACCAGATGGCTGGGTTGTTGGTGCAAATGTCGCTCAACACGTTCCGCTTCCAGGAGCGCATCATCTAGCAGAGGATCGCGAAGGTGTACAGGATCACGGCGACATCCAAAGCAAGGGCAAGAAAGGCCAAAAAGGCACTCGGCGCGCCAACCCTGAGATTGTAGACGTTGTCGTCTTTTGTCTGGCACTGATGGGCACAGACTGGATGGGGATGATTCTCGAAGCCCACAGAATTCTGCAAGAAGGGTGAGCGATGTTTGCGTCCACTTTGAGATCAAGTCTGATGTACCCACACCACCACTTTTCACACCATCTTCTTGTCGCAGCGGAGACCTCATCATTGCAGAAGTCTCGTCCCGCCACACCTCGATCGAGGATTTCACCGACCTCATTCGCGAAGCTGGCTTTGAGCTGAAGAAGAGTGACTCTAGCAACACACACTTTTCCCTCTTTGAATTTTGCAAGATCGAAAGACCAACTCAAAACAGCCCAAAAAACCGCAAAGAGCTTGCCGAGTGGAGGGACAAGTTGTGCGAGAAGGGAAGAAGGGTATTGAAACCTTGCCTGTACAAGAGGCGGTAGCCATCGTAACGTAATGCTCTTCATATGCTTGTGCGTGAAGCTGAAGCGAAGCGTTTGCATGAGCCATTGACAATGCCTCGTGAATATGGTCGCAGGGACCATCCATGTGCAACTCGGCACACTGATGCGCACCAACGAAGACATTCAGAGCAACGCAGAGGCACGAGATCTGAAAGCACAGAGGGCGACGTGTTGTCTGCTGCCTCATCATTCTGGTTTGCTGCACATGATCAGAGCGAGTGACGGATTGAAGCATCGTACTAGTACAAAAGTAGCATATCGCCAAGGCTGATCAAGTGCCACTAGGCCCGATGAGAGGCGGGCATGGCTCGGGCGACACGGTGGAGAGGAATATGTTACGCGATATGATTCTCTTTTCGCATCGCATCAAAGAGATTGACGCGCTCAAGAAAAGTGGATGCCCTCTTCGTGAAAGCAGTGCAATAGCTGCAGGAGGTCTGTGATGTCCATTTGCGCAGCTCTCTGATCCGAGTAGCCTGAAGCTTGCAGAATGTCCTCGACTCGCTGCGTGAAAGGTTTCGAAAGATCCAATGGCTGCTCGGCGGGGTCGTCGAAATTGCATCAGCTCTGTTGGCACTCATGAAAGAACCGATGCTTGCGCAAATATCGCGCGATGTAGGCCGCAATTGCAGCACCATGATGCTCACCCTTTCTCTTTCTGAGTGGAAAGTCTTCCAATTTGACTGTTTGTGAAGAAGCGATCGGCGGAGGATCGCAAGGAGAGAGGTATTGTTAGGAAAGAGGACCGACAAGACGCGAGAAGGGCACAAGCTATAAAATCGCGCGACGGACGCTCCTCTCAGAACCCTTTCTTGCAAGCCGCAACGTCTACTCACCTCCAACATCTCGACCACACCAGATGCAGTGAACGAGCTGCGGACTATCTTGTGCCGTCTGCTGAATACTATCCTGTTGAGTCCATCGAATTCTTCGAACCTGATTTCGGGCGGCGGGTTGATGGGTACGATTCTGACCACGGAGCTCTCGACCTGAGGGGGTGGTCTGAAGCTGCCTTTGGATACCTTCATAATGTGGTCGACCTTGGCGTAGAGTTGCACGTTGGCGCTCAATCGGCACCAGAGCGAGCTTCCGGGTCTGGCCAGCAAGCGCAGCGCAAATTCGCGCTGGAACATGAGAATGGCGCAGCGAAAAAGGGGTCGATGGGATAGCAATTTGAAGACTAGCGGACTGCTGATTTGATAGGGAGTGTTGCTGATGCAGACGTCGAAGTAGGGCAGCGAAGGAATCTTGCAGAAGTCGCCCAGGGTGATTTCCAATTTGCGCTGGACTGGTCTGTCACAACATGAGGAAAAGGCGAGGCATGAAAAGAAGACGATTCAGTTGAAGTTGACGTTGAATGGGACCGTCCCAGCGCCCTTGCATGCTAGCAAATCTGCCATGCACTGCTACACGCCTCTCAAAGACAAGCAGACAAGCTGCCACTCACCTGCCTTGCACTCGCTTTGTGAGCTCGGCAGCCATTCGCGGGTCCATCTCCACCACTGTGCACTTTTTGCAAACGTCCAATATCCTCACTGTCAGGTTGCCCGTTCCCGGTCCCACCTCCAGCACCAGATCTGTAGATTTAAGATTCGCCTTGTCGACGATGCTGTGGGAGAGCAGAGGTATGGGTGTGAATGCAGAGTGTGGACAGTCTGAGCGCTGTCGCAATGCAGCATCCCCTTGCCAGTGCCTGTCTTGCGCTCTGCGAAGCCTTTGCCGTCTCACGCGCACAATTGACCACTCACGCTTGAGCCACACCGGGGTTCTTGAGGATGTGCTGACCAAATCTATCGGTGTTGAAGATTGGATTCTTTGTGACGGAGCTGGTTCCAGTCTGTGTACCCAGCGAATCCAAAGCTACGCCCGATGCATTCTTGCTCGAGGAGGTGGTGGTGGAAGGCCTGACTGAGGCAGACGAGATGGTGTAAGGTGCGGAAGAGGAGGAATGGGAGCGAGAGTTGGGGTTCACCCCGCGTGAGGATATGGCGCG